GTTGAAAATGAACTAGAAACAGTAAATAAAGAAAGAGCTGAGACTCCTTGATGGGAACCGGAGCCCGGGAGATAGAACCGGCCTCCGGTAAGGGCATGTCGCTCACGGTATCAGGATTCAAGTGCAATCACCCTGGAGGTCAACTGTACCTCCTGTCCGGATTATTGCAAAGGCTTCCCTGCCAGTCGGTGGTTCAAACCCCTCTGGCAGCCTCGTCTCGAGTCCCCCTACCCGCCTTTTCACTTCCTGGAAGTGAGGTCTCCATTCTGCTTGTGAATTTACCTATTCCCATTAGATTCTTCTTTCTCCCTACACTGCCCTGTCTGTGCCTAACTCCTGGGCGCGCTTCAGGCTGGCCCAGGCAGCCTCCCCGCAGCTGGGGGCCGCCATCCCCACCCCGGGTCCGCGTGGATGAAGACCGCATAAAGCCGCCGCTGACATTCCCGCTCGGAGAACGCAGAGAACGCATTACCTCTCGTTCAGTCTCCCGCGCCCGGCTTCCGACGCGCTCCAGGGGGCGTGGCTCCGACCGCACGGCGCCAGCCAATAGGTCCCCGCGCGCGCCGGGCCGCCTCCTCCGTGCCAGACCCCGGAGGTGTGAACGGAAGTCCACCCGTCGGCGACTCGGAGGGCGAGGCCCCGCCCCGTCCCCCACCGCCGGAGCCGCGCGGAGAGCAGGCAGGCGGAAGCTCCGTGTACCTACCAACTACTCCGGCGAGGGCGCGCGGTGTCATGGCCGCCGACAGTGGCGATGGCGCAGCCTCAGCCCCAGCGGCTCCTGACGGTGAGTGGCTTCCGAGGGCTTCCCGCCTTAAAACCCTGTGCGCTCCGGAGAGGGGAAGGCCTCGAGCTCTCGGCTCTAGAAACTAACGTTCAGAGGACCAGAAAAGAGCCACGAGGAGACTACAAATCCCGGTGGGCAGCGCGGCTCGGGCTGCGGGAGCCTGGCGCGTTGAGAGCAGTCGGGGCGGATAGGGGCGTGTCGGGAGGTGTAGTCTAGAGTCCTGGTTCTGTTGCGTGGCGTGGGTCCGAAGGAAGTGGAATGTATTGGGAGCTTGGCTGTGAGAAATTATTTATGAGGCTCTGGAGGGTACTAGTTACCGTTGCTTGTGGCTCCTGAGGCCCCGTGGGAACAGTACTATGGAGCTTTTGGGGGCATTAAAGGAGTCGCATTCCTCAAGCCCTGAGAAGGATTTCCTGCGGGATGTGGGAAGAAGGAACCTCGCAGATCGTTTATCCAGCGTTCCACTTCTAAAGATTGTGGTGCTGTGGGGAGAAGTAGTTTTCCCAAAGTCTGACGTAAACCACTGAAGACGCCGGCCTTTCCCCCCCCAAATTCAGAGCACTGCTCACCCTTAGGCCTGTGTGTAGAGCACATGTAATACAAAGGCTTGGAGGACAGAGGTGCTATTTCTTGCCTTAATGGAAACTGCCCCCCAACATTCCACCCCGAGCCATGGCCTACACCTTGGTACCTGTTGCTCCGGGCCCCTGCCCCAGCATTACCATCCACACTCTCTCCTTAGCCTCAGACGGTGTCAGCAAAAGCACAAAATCTGAGGAGAAGCTAGCAGTCCAGGTGCCCGTGGTGGATGTGCAGAGTGACAACTTCAAGGAGATGTGGCCATCCCTCCTGCTGGCCATAAAGACCGCAAGCTTCGTGGCTGTGGACACGGTAAGGGCAGGGGATTGGGGAGGGCAGGTAGCTGTGCAAGGGCTGGTGCTGGGAACCTGACACAAGACTCTCCCTTTACACACTCCCAGGAACTGAGTGGGCTTGGGGACAGGAAGAGTTTGCTGAACCAGTAAGTATAAGCCCTGATCTTAGTGCCAGCCTTGGCAAGAGGGGCAGACTTCATCCCTGGAGTAGAAGTCACAGTCCTGGGTGGTTTGAGGGCTAACTCTCAGCCACAGCCACCCCCTAAACCCAACCCCAAGGTGCATCGAGGAACGTTACAAGTCCGTGTGTCATGCAGCCAGGACCCGTTCTGTTCTCTCCCTGGGCCTTGCCTGCTTCAAGCAGCAGCTAGACAAGGTATGGACTCATCTTCCCATCCCTGCTCTGTGCCGCGGGGAAGAGGGTTGAGATCCCAGAGAACATCGGGTGTGCGGTATTTCTATCCCAAATCCTGATGTAGCAGATCCTTTCTCTCTCAGGGTGAACACTCCTACCTGGCTCAGGTGTTCAATCTGACCCTGCTGTGCATGGAAGAGTATGTGATAGAGCCAAAGTCTGTGCAGTTCTTGGTACAGCATGGCTTCAACTTCAACCGGCAGTATGCTCAGGGTATCCCGTACCACAAAGGCAATGACAAGGTAGGTCTCCAACCTTGACACTGCCCCTTCTGTGATTTCATTTCTTCCTAACCGGTCTGGGTACAGGAAGATGATCTGCTTCTTAGGGAATATGGGAAATCACTAGGGATAAGGCTAGGGAAACGAGCCTGATCCACAACAGACTAGCATAGGGAGCGAGAATTTTCCAGATAGGGGCGCCAGGGATGAGTGTTGTGCAAAAGAGGCTCCCTACAGGACTGTCCTTCCCGATGACCCCTTTCTTTCCACCTAGGGTGATGAGAGTCAGAGCCAGTCAGTGAGGACACTGTTCCTGGAGCTAATCCGGGCCCGCCGGCCCCTGGTACTACACAACGGTCTCATAGACTTGGTGTTCCTGTACCAGAACTTCTATGCACACCTGCCCGAGAGCTTGGGAACCTTCACTGCTGACCTGTGTGAAATGTTCCCAGCCGGCATTTATGACACCAAATATGCTGCTGAGTTTCATGCGCGCTTCGTGGCCTCCTACCTAGAATATGTTTTCCGGAAATGGTGAGGAACTGGTTCAGGTTTAGGGGTGGGGCCTGGTATAAGCCTGACTATTTCATTCATTTAAGGTATTTATTGAGTGCCTACCATGTGCCAGGCACAGTATTTGGTGCTGAGTATTCAGCAGTAAGCAAAACTGACAAAAACCCTATTCTCTTGGAGTTTATAAGCTAGTGGGCCAATACCCTCTTACGCTGTTTCAGTGAGCGGGAAAATGGGAAGCAGCAGGCAGCTGGCAGCCCACACCTGACCCTGGAGTTCTGCAACTATCCTTCCAGCATGAGGGCCCATATCGACTACCGTTGCTGCATGCCCCCTACAACCCATCGCCCTCATTCCACCAGCGTCTGTGACAACTTTTCGGTGAGAGCAGCCACCCACTTCTTGGGGGAGGGGAGGTTCTGATGCCTGGAACGCCTCTCTAAGCCTTTTCCTACCTCTAGGCCTATGGTTGGTGCCCCCTGGGACCACAGTGTCCTCGGTCTCATGATATTGATCTTATCATTGACACCGATGAGGCTGTGGTGGAGGACAAGCGGCGACGGCGGCGACGTAGGGAGAAACGGCGGAGGGCTTTGTTGGGCCTGCCTGGGAAACAGACCTCTGAGGAAACTGAGGATTGTCCTCCAGTGAAGCAGGTCTGTGGCGATGGCCTCAAGGCTGAAGAAATGGAGCAAGAGGTAGCTGAGGATGAGACTAGGACCCAGCCTGGCTTGGAGCAAGGTCACAAAAATGACTTGGAGCTGGACCTTAAAACAGCAGGGCCAGAAACAGCTGATACAGCTACCCCAGAAGCGCCAGGGAGTCAAGCCAGTCCTCACCCAGTGCCTGGGGATGGACTGCATCGCGCTGGTTTTGATGCCTTTATGACAGGTTACGTGATGGCCTATGTGGCAGTGAGCCAAGGACCCCAGCTCTGTAGCTCTGAACCCTGGCTACCCGAATGCCACAACAAGGTATACCTGAGTGGCAAAGCTGTACCCCTCACAGTGGCCAAGAGCCAGTTCTCCCGATCATCCAAAGCCCACAACCAGAAGATGAAGCTGGCTTGGGGCAGCAGCTGACCCAACTTCCGCCTAGCACTCAAGGCCCAGGAAGAGTACTGAGAGTGGAACAGAGGTGTCTGGGTTCCTCTAACCTGCAAATGTTCTACTCCCACCTTCTACAGAGCTGGGGGTTTGGGGTTGGTCCTGGCCTGGACCACCACCTTTACTCTAAAGGGTAAGGAACAAGGGTACAAGTAAGGAGGCTGACCAGCACCTGTAACACAGACTTTATTTACTTTTAAATCTGAAAGTGTCTTGGGAAAACGTATTACCAAAAAAACAACAGAAACAAGTTATGAAAATATTTGACCAGCTTCATCTTTGGTTATTTCTTATTGCGGCTCTGTAAGGACAGACTGTTCCCGTGGCTCCAGCCAGAGCAGGAAGGGAAGAAAATCCGCCTGTGCATAAGCCATTTAACCACCTGGGTGTATCACATGTTGACAAATACATAGAGCAGGCCCTGAGGCCTACAAAACCGGCCCCACTCCCAACCACAAGGTTGAAAGTTTCTGGGGCAGAACATTAAGACTCCTTCATAAATATGAAAATAGATTAATCAACTGGAAAAGATCTTTGAATAGGTTAGCTAAGAGCCATGACCACCACGCTGCCTCACCCTCCCCTTGCATAGAAATGTAGTGATGTGGTCTGACTATGCAGTAAGTGCAAACAGCAATTATTCAAGTGTCTTAGACGTCCTGGCAAGAAGCTCCCCGTTCTTCAGGTCTGAGAAATAGCCATGCCTTTTATGGCTTCCTGGTTAGCTCCAGGTTCCATCCAGTAGCTTATATGACAGACCTGGGGTGGGAGAAGAACCTGGGGTATTAGCTGCCTGCCAGCTCAAACCAGAACTAAGAGTCCTCTGGTCCTGTTTGGGGAAGTGCAGTGGGAGTTGGGTGGGAGCCAGAGCTCCTTGCTGGATTTCAGAAGCTTTGTATCAGCTGTTGGCCCTGCCTGGGAAGGCCTTTCACTGCTGCCTCCCCTCTCATATACAGCCTTTGGGCACTTGGGAGCCCCCAGATTGAGCCTGGCCTGGCCTGCCTGCTCTGTAGGCTGCAGGGAAGAGTCGAGGCCGTGCACCAAGGGGGCCCTGTGGCTTCAAGTGAAGGTCCACCCCCAAGGTGAGCTGGGGACTAACCCCTCTCACCCATCCTGTTTTCCCTGGGTTTTCAGGCCTATGCCTGAAACAGAGAAAGGGACTGGAGCCAAGCCTCTTGGCCTTTCTTCTTCTACCTCCATTTCCTCAGAAGCACCTGCAAGGCATGAACTGGCCCCCTGGGGCCTGGGCCCCAAACCATTTTCTTCCTGGGGACTGGAGCAGTCCATGGCTTCGTGGGCTGGAGCAGCTTGGAGGGCAGAGGTTCGGAATGGCGGGATCTCTCTCACTCTGTACTTGAGACTACTGAGGCGTGGTGGGGGCCCATCAGATAGTGATTCTTCTCGGCCAACAAATGGACAGGACTCTCGATGCAAGAACTCTGGCGAACCAGGCAAGGAACGCCACCGGCGAGCAGGTGGGGCCAGCAGGTCCTGCCAGTCAGCCACAGGCAGAGTTCCAGGCCCTGGTGCGTCCAGGTCAAATACCAGGGAGATAACAGATTTGCTGGGCAGGTCAAAGAACTTGACCTTGCCACCCTTGAGGTCCTGGCGAGCACTGAAAGGGTTGATTTTGGGGGTGCGGGCAGCACCATCTCGTGGCTGGTAGTATGGGTCCAAGACATTCACTGTACGTGGGGGCTTATGGGAGAAGATGTCTGATTGGCTTCGAGACAACCAGATAGTACGTCTTGGGCGTGGGGACTTGGGAGGGATCTTGTCATCCAGTGTGCTCAGTCGCTTCACCCCAGGTCCTTTTTCCAAGGGTCCTGAAAAACAATGAGTCAAAACAGGCTTACTCACATTAATCATAACAAACAGAAGTGACACCTTGTGCCACAAAGCATTTAACCAATGAGAAAACTCAAGAGAGGCCATATGCCGAGTCATATTTCTTAGAGTCCAGTACTTTTTCCATCATTCCCTGCCCCTCTGCCTTTCTTCTGGACGTGAGGATCCTATAATCAGCCCTAGAGAAGAAGGCCCCACATCCTAATTTCTTCCCTTGGAGTCACGTGGAACACTGGTCTAATCTCTTACCCTTGGCTGTGGACTGCAGTTTCCTGTCTGTCTCCAGCTCTTCTTCCTGTAGATGGCTCAGAATTTCCTCCAGGGTCTTCCCAATCTCCACGAAGGATGGGCGCCGTTTGGGGTCCATCTGTAGTTATCCACACCAACCATTAGCCCTGTCCTCCTATCTTCCACCCCAAGGATGGCATTTGAGTCTGTTTCTGGCATCTTCTAAGATTCAGATATGCAGCTAAGAGATCTTTTCTAAAGGTCCCAGACCATGAGGGTGATTCTCAGAGCTAAGGTCAGGGAAGATGCTGTTGTCTTATACCCACTCCTATCAGTACCCTTTCGGTATGTGTCTTATCCCCTTGATGTGCACAGAACCATCCAAAAGGGTATGGTTACGTTGGTTTGTTCTGTTTTTGCTAACATGTTTCTGGGAGTTACCTGGATAAAGCCCAGCTACCCCTTGGTCATGACAGGTAGGTCCAGTCCCCAGAGCTGTATAAAATGAAGGCTATCAAAAGCCCTTCCCATAGGCCTTAAGGCCAGCTGGACCCAAAGTCCAACTGAAACCTGACCGGAGCTCTGTTGAGGTCCAGGGTAAGAGACGGTGAGTCTACCCTGCAGGCTGAGGACTGTATAACACCAATTTCCTTTTCTTGGTCCACGGCTCTGGACAGTCTGTCAGGCCTGGAGGAGGGGCCATGGGCACTGCTATTCGTCAGTGAAAACGAGGCTCCTCATGAAGCTAATTAGCAGCCTGTCCCTACAGTCCTAACTAGATGAAAGGGGTTCAGCCAGCCCCTGACCAAAGCTGGGGGGAGGGGAGGGAGATACTCACATTACAGCAGTTGAAGGTGAGCTGCAGAAAGTCTGGGGGACAGTCTCCCACCATATGCTGGAAAGCATCATAGTCTAGCCCGAAGTTCTGTGGATAGGTATGGTAGGGAGGGGACACAGAAGACCAGTCATTAATCTCTCCATCCATCCTGGCCTGCTTAGGAGAGGCTGAGAATTGCCCCTAAAGTAACTACACAGTTCCAGCAACTCCACCCTGGGAACAACAGTTCCAGAGCTTCAAAACCAGCCCCATCCCACTGGCACTGTGCCCTATGCCTGCAGCTCACCTCTGTGCGGGGAAGACAGTCCGGATCAGCCTGGATGCGGGCGATGATCTCACAGAGGATGATACCATAAGAGAACACGTCCGCCTGGTGGGTAATGAGACCTCGGTTTCCTTCTCAGTGGAGTGAGAAGTGGGGTTTCTCCCCCTCAGGTCCACCAGCGCAGGCCTGCGCCCTACTGTCTGCATTTCATTCAGTTCATTTACTGGGCAGCTGCCGAGTACCAGCCCGGTCTTAGCAGGATATAGCTCCCCACCCGGAACATACAGGTTGATCCTGGATACTTTCTGCTAAGAGTGGATTCTAAGGAGTACCAGGCCCCGGGGTCCCCAGACTCACCTTTTCATTATAGGGCTCATCTCGGAGAACCTCAGGTGCCATCCAGAATGGTGAGCCCACCACGGCCAGCTTTTCACTCCCCATGCTGTGGGGTGGGGGTGGAGGGGAGATTATATGGAAAATGAGCTTGCCACTGGCTGGCGTAATGGGATACCTGACCACTGGGAACTCCTCTCCCTGAAGGGGAGACGTCGTAGAAGGCACTAAAATTGACCACATTTAGGGAGCTGGGACGGAGCTGTGACCAAGTTCTGGCCTCTGGGGAAGAAGCTGGAGCTTTCCTTTTGCTTCGGTCCCTTCTGTGACCCCAGTACCAATTAGGACTACCCACCTGACATCAGGAATCTTCTCAGCCAGGCCAAAGTCAGCTACCACTGCAGAGTAACCATTCTCATCCCTCCTTATCAGGCAGTTCTAGGGTTCCCAAAGAAGAAGACAATGTGGCTCAGAAGAGGGACCACCCAGCCATAAGGTTACCACCACCCCTCCCTTCCACAGGGTACCTTGGCGCTCCTCTTGGTGAAACAACACTCTTAGCTGACCCCAGTGGTCAGACTTGGGGGTTCTGTCACCCATGGGAGATGGCTCAGGCCTGGATCTTGGGTTCCTGCCCTAAGATTCATAGGATTCCAACAAATATTTATCTTTGCTTTCTATATACTAAGCCTCAGTGAACAGACATCTTTGTCCTCTTGGAGCTTACAATCTAGTAGAGGAAGACAGACTATCAGGCCCCTGGCCTTCCATTCTCTTTTCCTCAGAATGCAGAGATCCAAACACTAGCCTGACCTTGCCAAGTAATGTAAGCGTAAAACAAGCATTCAGGCCTGCACTACCTTTCACTGCCCACAGGATCACAACCAGCTTCCTCTCAGTCTATGACCTGGCTCTAACCAACTGACCTCCCCCCACCCCCCTGCTGTTCTTATGCACACGTCTCCATCCAAACTTGTCACAGACAACCTGTACTCCTAAAGCCTGAACAGCTCCTTCAAGCTTTTGTTGTTGCTTATACAGTTCCCTTCCATTTGGAATGTTCTCCCAACTCTCCTTTTCATGTATTTTTAGGTATTTTAAAATACATAAAAGTGACCTTTCCACACTGTCATTACCACACTCTCTCTCTTCTCAACTCCTTTAACTCCTCCTCTCTGCCACTTCCTCTTATAGTCTAGCAGAGAACAGGTTCTAGTTCAGGCCTTGCCTCCTCACAGCACTCAACTGGTGACAGAGGCTCAGGATGTGTTCACTGAACAAGAGAAAGGATGAACCCAGATGACTTGTAAATAAACACTAATCAGCAACCAGCTCTCCCCAAACAGCTGCATTCAAAATAGCCCTACAGGGGCGCCTAGGTGGCTCAGTGGGTTAAGCCTCTGCCTTCGGGTCAGGTCATGATCCCAGGGTCCTGGGATCGAGCCCCACATCAGGCTCTCTGCTCAGCGGGGAGCCTGCTTCCTCCTCTCTCTCTCTCTCTGCCTGCTTGTGATCTCTGTCTGCCAAATAAATAAATAAAATCTTTAAAAAAAAAAAATAGCCCTACACACTCACTCACTCAGGAGGCACCTCCCTCCACCCCCTTTCTCCAGAGGCAGGAGAGAGTAGGGATCCTGGGCTCAGGGACATCTGTGGGGCCAGCAAGGCCCTATCTGACCCAAACCTGCCCTCCCTCCTCCTCACTGGGCTTGGCATGCAGTTGCTGAGGCAGAGCCACATCACCTCCCGCTTCCTCCACCGCAGGTACGAATGACTCCCTTTCTTTGGCCTCGACGTGATCATACTATTCTCTCCCCGCGCTGGAAGGAGCCTGTGATTTCATCGTCTCCTACCCTGGGTCCCAGATGGACATGCACCGTACCTGGCTTCCAAGCAGGACCATCCTTGTGCTTGCCGTGGCTTTGGCCCTCCCATCAAGTTGTGCTGCCTCAGCACCCCTGAGCCCCCCAACTATCACTGTGAGAGGATGGGCCTGGGCCAGCTATTGCCTATTGAAAAGCCAAAGCCCAGGCTACAAGACACAGGCTTGTGAGGCAGTATCAGCTCAGATCGGTCACGTTATTTTCCCCCCTCCTCCCTTTTCACCAACAACTCAGGCTCCTGTCTCCAAGGTTCAGTCTAAAGTCCTACTTACTATTTGCTTTATAGCCCTCAGAAACAGCCCCATAAATTCAGCCTGGGAGCAGCAGATAAGGAAAAAAGAATATGGTTACAGTACACTATCCTTGTCAAAGCTGTGCGGTTTCTGCCCCAGCTTCACATTCATGGACATCTACTGTCCGCTCACTGCAAACCACCCACGTAGGGGTAAGTGACTTCATAGTAGTTTCTGTGAACAGCTGAGAAATGGCTAAGGCAGGGATGATTGGGGCCCCACAATATGGGACATAGTTACCCAGTTTGTCTCTCATCTAGAGGGTGACTCCTGCACCTTGTACGGCTTCTCACAGCCAATAGCTGGCACGGGAGCCAAAGACAAAGATGGGATACTGTACACCAAAAGAGCCAGACTTTTGGAGCCTGTATCTGAGGTGATAAGGAAAATGTGGAGGAACCCTGCTGGATTAGCCCCTGTGGGATTTACCAGAAACTCCCAGCCTGCCCTTAAGACCCTGCCATTAATGGGGTCTAGGCTAGTGAGGTATGGCTGGCCACACTTGCTATTTTCACTTCCTTATCTCCCACTCATTCCTCATCGGTTTCTGCTGTGAGTTCCCCCAGAGGATACAATGACTTCTATGGCATTAATTTCAATAGACAAAATTAGTTCTTATATACTTGATCTTTCTGCTGCTGACATTGCTGATTACTTCTTTCAACACTTTTTTATGTGATTCAGGAATCATATTAACACTGGACATGCAGGGGCACCTGGGTAGCTCAGTCAGTTAAGCATCTTGCCTTCAGTTTGGGTCATGATCCCAGGGTCCTAGGATGGAGTCCCACATTAGGCTCCCTGCTCAGTAGAGAGCCTGCTTCTCCCTCTCCCTCTGCTGCTCCCCCTGCTTGTGCTCTCTCTGCCTCTGTCTCTCTGACAAATAAATAAATAAACTCTTTAATAATAATAATAATGATAATAATAATAAAAAATATGTTCCAAATCAGTCCCTCCTTCTTCATTCCCACTACCCTTGCATTAGGTCCTCCTCATTCCTCCCCTGAATATTGCAACACTCCTGTAACTGGTCTCCCTGGCCTGGTCCAGGCTTTATCTCTATTATTCACCTTCCTCATTCCTGCCAGCATGACCTTAGTAAAATGTAAATCTGTGTTATTCCCCTATTTAAAAGCCATCAATGACATATTGTATGATTCCATTTATATGAAATGTCCAGAATGAGCAAATCCATAGAAAGTGAAAATGGATTAGTGGTTGCCCAGGGCTGAAGGGAGAAGGGACTAGAGTGTGGGGCTTTCATTCTGGAATGAAGAAAAGTTCTGAAATTAGATAGTGGTGGTGGCTGAATATACTAAAAGCCACTGAAATACATACTTTGAAAGGGTAAATTGTGTTTTATGTGAAGTATATCTCAAAAAAGCTGAGTGGCTTTCTCCATTTCCCATCTAGAAGATTAAATAAGCCACACAATATATGATCAGAGTCCTCTCTTTTCAACTCTTATTCCCTACCACTCCTCCCTCCCAGTCTGCACATCATAGAGTTCATGCCACTATGCCTTCGTTTGTGCAATTCCCTGTGTCTGCTCTGGTCTAGAATATGACATCCAGCATGTGTACTGATAATAATTAAACTAAACTAGTAAGTATAATTCAGTTTTCCAGATTCAGTTCAGCCCCCATCTCCTCTGAGAAGCCTGCTCTGTACCCTTAGGTTGGGTTAAATACCCTTTTTTCAAAGTATCCTATGCATCGCCCTCTCTGTAACATTTCCCATCTACCATGTTATAAAGAAAGTCTGTATAGTCCCTTCCCATGGCTAGAGACTATAAGCTTTAGGAAAGCAGTGATGTCTTAAGAAGGAGATGGCCCAGAGAATACTTCCTAGCCTCTTGGGTAAGGGAAAGATTGCCTACTTCTGTCTATATGGCATCCTAAGATTACAAAACATTTTTCACAAGCACAGTCAAAACAACATTGTCAGGTGAGCAGATCTAAGATTTTTACATTTAAGATGAGAAAAATGAAGCTTACAACTGTAAGTGGTAAAGACCCAGGTCTCCTAAGGGTTCTCACATGACACTGACCTCCCCAGAAAGAGGCTGAAAAGCTTTCCCCTTTTATAATGAAGCAATGTAGGCTTCAGCAAGATCATGGCAGGAGCAATGTAGTCTTAAGAGAGCAGCAGGGGCCCGGGGCCGTGGAGAAGGCAGCACTATGTGCAATACCGTAAAACCCCTCCATTTGGGACTCCAGCCACTATCTCAAACATCCAAAGGCATCTAGTACAATGCTTGCATTTCTCACCCAACTTGGACATGGCCCCATTATAACTAGGTGGCTACAAAATACAAATATGAAGCTCAGACCACTGTGGGGTTCTGAAGAAGCCAGACCAGTTTTCATGCTGTTTGGAATATAAGGTCCACTACATATAGAATGAAGAATGCTTTATTCAAAAGTGTCTTTGGGGTGCCCTGGGTGGCTCAGTTGGTTAAGTGTCCAACTTGACTTCGGGGTCATAATCTCGGGGTTGTGAGACTGAGCCCCAAGTCAGGCACCATGCTGGGCATGGAGCCTGCTTAAGATTCTCTCTCCCAAACCATAAGAGACTCTTAATCTCAGGAAACAAACTGAGGGTTGCTGGGGGAGCTAGGGATAGGGTGGCTGGGATGGACACTGGGGAGGGTATGTGCTACAGTGAGTGCTGTGAATTGTGTAAGACTGATGATTCACAGACCTGAACCCCTGGAACAAATAATACATTATATGTTAATTAAAAAAAATAAAAAGATTCCCTCTCCCTTGGCCCTCCCCACTCCCTCTGGTGGGGTGGGGGGAATGTATCCTTGCCTAGAGTAAGCAGTAGACATAAGGGAGGCTCAGACAGACTTCCCTGAGGGGAAAGGTTTCTGATTTCCAGGCTCAAAAAGGAGCGTAGGCCCTACAGCTTCCTGGCTTCTGTTCCTCTGTGTCCGCTCCCCTATTAAAATGCACCACACTAGAGCAGAGAGACTTCTATGTTTGCCTCTTCAGTGACGGAATGATCCCATTCATCTCTGTGTCTCAAACCTAGCACAGACACACAGAAACGGCTTAGCAAAAGTTTATTTGAAAGTTTGGGCAGATAACTGAACAACTGGGCTTCTTTTCATATGTGTCAAAGGCATACAGTAATCATACATTCAGCTCTCCACTGTGGGGACTGAGCTGACAAGGGACTCAAAGGGGTCTTATGACTTATGAGATCATAACCTGAGCGGAAACCAAGAGTCAGACACCCAACCAACTGAGCCACCCAGGCGTTCCTCCACTTGCCATCTTAATGCTGCTTCAGTAACAGTGCAACTGACTACAAAAGGCCCTGCCACACCCAGGGGCCCCACATCCACCTCCCCAAAGCTATTTTCTCTGCAGTAGTTTATAAGCCAATTGCCAAGGTCCCTTAGGGGCAGTACTGCTGTTTGGAACACAAGAACCGCTGTCGTGTGAGGTAACCAAGGACTTACCGTTCTAGGCCTTATTGGCTCTGAGAGTACAGCTTGCTTGTGTCCCCTTTGCAAACTTCATCTTATAACAAGCTCCCTCACCCCTCCTTCATGACAGAAGGGGTACAGGAGTCTGGTATGCATATCTATATGTGTGCATGTGTAGGTGTTGCGGGTGGAGAATGAAATGACAGCTATTCTTGGACAAGTACAAAACTCCTCTATACCTCTCTAGAAGACTTTAAATCAGCTCTTGCACAGAAGTCCTGTTAGATGGCTTATAGTTCCCACATCAATGATCAAATAATACTATTTATATAAGCCTGGTTATGGTGGTGTCCTGGGCTACTTGGCCCTGAAGTGCCTGCCTTGTAGCATGGCCAACTTCCTCTAAAAGCAACTATTTTCTAACCTAGTCACACAGCAATTTGGACAGCAAGAGACTAGCTGATGCCAAAGAAGAACTGGCAGAAGGGCAGAAACTCAATCACACAGATAGAAAATGGGTCAGTACATTATAGCCCTCAAAACCTGCACTCAAATGACAAAAGCAGTGAACTCCTGCTCTCAGTTAAGAGCTACCTCCTGAAGGCTGTGAAAGAGACCTCTACGACACAGGCCCCCAATTTGCAATGATTGCTGTCACTCCTATAGGAGAGGAATCTCTTAACCCTCCCATGTCACCTGCTTCTGCAACACTCATTCAGACTGGGTCAAGGATTAAGATTCTTAAGATATATATATTGCCTGGCTCAACACTAAAAGGTACCTGCTGTGAGCCAACACTGGCTTTCTAAGGACTAGCTGTACAGAGTAGTAAGTTATATTCTCTGTGACTAAATGATAAATCTATATGAGATCTTCATCATTTCAAAGCTCATTAGTGACTGGTTTCTTAACATAGCTTTCTGGTAACGGAAGACAGTGTCTCAAAGAGTTGTGCAAGGAAAGCCTTCATACCTTAGATGTGAGGTCCCGATGGAAAATGCCTTTGAAGTGAAGGTAGCTGAGGCCCACTGCTATGTCATAGGCCAGTTTCACCCTCACAGTCCAGGGCAAATGCAGGTTACTGTCTAGCAACTGCTCCAGGTTTCCAGAGTTGATATACTGCAAAACAAAAGGAAAAACCCAGCCACCATTTGTCAGAAATGTTTAGGCTGGTGGTGAAACCATTAGAGAATAAACACCCAGAGAATAGAGATTTCATTTAAAAAAAAAAAAAAAAAAGAAGAAGAACAGAGATTCCATGTTTTTTAATTTATTTTAAGTTACTGAGGGTTTATTCGGCGCACAGGCACTATGGTAGGTGCTGCACACAGAGGCCCTTTCCTTTGCGGAGATGACAACAGCTTTGTACAGGTACAACAGCACTATGAGCGCAGAGGATAAAGTTACAAAGTCAATCTGGGCATGTCAGAGGAAGCTGCACAGAGGAAATAAGGAATTAAAAGGATGACCTGGGGGAACAGGAAAGAAAGACAACGCATACAGAGGGAGCAGTATATGCAAAGTTATAGATTAAGTGCCAGGTGCATTCAGGAAATAATTTACTCAATATGGCCAGAGTGCATGAAGAGTAGAAACAGGTGAGGCCAATATACTTTGCTATGGACTTTATCCCGTCTATCAGACCAAAATAAGTCCAAAATAAGAGCAAAATACTCATCTTTACTTTTCAAAGAAAAGATTTTTTTTAAGCAATCGTATGATTGATGGATTAGATAGATTATGGAAATGGGTAAATAGGCAATTATTGTGATAATCCTGGTGAAAGAAGGGTGCATCGGTTAAGGCAACAGATGAGACACTGGAACAGAGCAAGATTCAAGACATACTTATATGGCAGAATTGAAAACAGACAGACACACACAAAACTTGATGACAGTCTGGATTGGGGGGATGAGAGCAATGAAAATCTCTAGGTTTTTTTTTTTTTTTTTAATATTTTTATTTATTTATTTGAGAGAGAGAGATCACAAGTAGACAGAGAGGCAGGCAGAGAGAGAGAGAGAGAGAGGGAAGCAGGCTTCCTGCTGAGTAGAGAGCCCGATGCGGGACTTGATCCCAGGACCCTGAGATCATGACCTGAGCCGAAGGCAGCGGCTTAACCCACTGAGCCACCCAGGCGCCCTGAAAATCTCTAGGTTGATCCCGGGCTCCTGGATGCCATTATTAATAGCCACACAATAGACAAAAAGACAGGTTTTTAGAAGGAGCAGCAAGGTTAAAAATAGTGAGGTCGGCTAGGACATGTTGAGCTTAAGCGCTTGTGGGACAGCCAAGGTGGAGATGTCCTAAAAAGAGCTCAGACAAAGTCTGAGCTAGAGACCAACATTTAGGAGGCAGTAGCAATGAGCTGAAGTAGTCACTGATGCCTTAGGATGTATGAAGTTGTCCAGGGGTTAACATATAAAGTGAGAAATTCACAGAATCCTAAGGAATAGTAACATTTAAAGGAGCAGGCAGAGGAAGAACCAAACAAGAATGTTAACATTGAAGCCAAAGAAGGAGAATATTCCAAAGTGGAAACGACCACGAAAAGTATCAAATGCTACAGTTCGAGTAAAGTGAGCAGGAAAATTGTCCACTGAATTTGCAACTAAGAAATCATTGGTAACTATGGCGACAGCAGTTGGTCAAGACCAGAGTTAAGACCAAAGTGAACTGAGGAGAGAGTAAGAAGATAAGGCTATGGAGAAACTATGTGAAGATGTACTCTTTCAATAAATTTGGCTGTTCATCATTTCTACACACCCATGAAATGGAGAAAAAAAAAAGGAGCAAATAAAGGTATTATTATAGAGGTGATAAGAGTCAGAGTAATAATAGTAACAACAGCAACAAAACAACAGTAGCAACAGCTAATATTTATTCACATAGTGCTTACTTTGTGCCATGCACTAGTCTAAGAACTTAACATCAATTATCTCATTTAATCTGCACATAACCGTATGAATTAAGTATACTATTATTCTCATTTTATAAAAGGCATTTAGAAGTTAAGAGCCAGGGTTCAAACTCTAGGCAGTTTAGCCCAGAGTCCATGTTCTTTACCACAACATTATGTTAGACTAACAAGCCATAGCATCTGAGTCAAAGAGCCTCATACAGAACCGGAGCTCAAAAATTTTTGCCAAGGAGATCATGAATTTATTCAAACCTTACATGATATATTATATTCCTTCTCCTTTCATAAAAGAAAAAGGAAAGCTTCCTCTAAGCTTAACATTAAGCTCTTAAATACCTATTTTGGGGGGGTGATACTGAATTTTCAAAACCAGGGAACCTAAAGGGGGAGCAGTCAGGGGATCTGAATTTTAGTCCAAATCTGCCTCTTAATAACTAATTACCTAAGGACAAATCAACTAATCAGTTATCTCTACAACCACTCAGTGAGTACATCTCCACTTCCTGTCACCCCCATGTGACAGTAAGAACCTATCAGTTTACATCAACATTATTTTCCTTCTGTGATTAGAGTTTTCCTACCTATAAAATAGATATTACAATTCCTGATCCATATGACTCCCAATGTCATCATGAGAATCTAATACAAGCATATGAAAGTGCTTAGAAAAAAATTTAAGTGTCATACAGTCTGAGATGTCAATATGCCGTAACGTAAGCACCAGAAAGAACCAGTTGGGGGCAGCACGATGCAGCACTTCATATCCTTGGACGAGGCGGCTCAGGCTTGGCATCGCAGAGAGAATGGCTAAAAATACACCTAATTTCTCAAAAGGGAAACCTGTCAATCTGCTCCATTCTACTTGATAATCCATCTTGGAAATCTCAAAATGAGGCATGCTGATGACATTAACACAGCGCCTTTCATCTCTTCACTCTAGCTGAATCTGTCCACAGTTCACATTTGAGGAGCCCATTTGCTAAAAAGAAACTAAACTTGCAAACTTCAAGCTACTTGGGAGCAATATAGTGGACATCTCATCATGCAAATTCTTTTAGTTCTGACAGAAAGAACTGAAAAGGTGGTTCACTTCTTTGATAGGGTGACAATGTGACATGGAAGGCCTTCAGGAGCCACTGAGGTTTCCCAACTGAGGGCCAGGCAGAAAAGACTACGGTGAAAAGGCTGTATCTGGGGCACCTGGGTGGCTCAGTGGGTTAGAGCCTCTGCCTTTGGCTCAGGTCATGATCCCAGGGTCCTGGGATTGAGCCCTGCATCGGGCTCTCTGCTTTGCGGGGAGCCTGCTTCCTCCTCTCTCTCTCCCTGCCTCTCTGCCTACTTGTGATCTCTGTCTGCCAAATAAATAAAACCTTAAAAAAAAAAAAAAGAAGAAGAAAAAGAAAGAAAAGGCTATATCTGCATTCTCTCCGGGCCAAGATAAGCCAGGACTCTTGATTCTGGTTCAGAAAAACACATATTTACTCTTTTCAGCATGTCTTTGAAGATCTGAGAATCCATAGATCAAGGCATAAGGTGGAGAGCAGAGGAGAAAGGTGAGGTGAGGTGAGGAATCACACCCTTAGGAGGTTCTGGTTCTTCCAAGCAAGATGGAAGAAGCACAAACCAGGACCAGAGAGGGAAACTAAATGGAGTTTCTTGTTACAAACCATTTATCTTGCCTGCCTTTGGCGAATATTTTTAGAGGGGGCTGATAAGCCTCTGGGCCTTCAGAAACCACAACTTCTGAGTGTCTCAAGACCTTTGTGTGTATAAAGAAAGGAAGTTTGAGATCTGCCAACAAGGAAGATTTCTAAGTTGCTATACACTCTGTGTGCCCATTAGTTGGGATGTTCACTTCCCCATAAGCAACTCCCAGCGCAGGCTCAGCTGGTGTGTCCTCTGGCCAATCCCTCTGTGGGAAGCAGAGGCAAGATCAACTACACTAGCACATTCAGCGTCCCAGGATCAGGGTAACAGCTGCTTGGCTTTGTTTTCTTCCAGACCACTCCCTTGGGCAGCTCTACAAAGCAACCTAAGGCCTAAGGCATTGGCAATGCATTTAAATAACCTACTAGAGAGATAAATTTTTACATTTTTTATTGTTGTCCTTTTACACTTTCAAGTTCAGAAAACTGCAGTACGAGCCAACCAAGAGCTACAGGTACTTCAGGACCTCTTAGTGACTTCCGAAACTTTATCTACACCCAAACCTGCCTTTCCAATTCGCAGTCTAATAAAAATATTATAACAGAGTTTCTACCAATTCATTTGTGTTTGGTACTTGATTTCATTAAAGACTCTTATCCTAAAAGGCAGTCAATAAATAGATATGTGCTGGAGACTAAACAATATTATGTATGCAAGAAATCATATGTCAAGACCATAAAAAAAATCACCACGGGGTCAGATTAGTGGACACTCAGTTTTCCACTCAGGAATATCAATTAATTTCTACAACCATTCAGTTATTTCTACAACCATTCAGTGAGTACATCTCCACTTCCTGTCACCCCCATATGACAGTAAGAACCTATCAGTTTACATCAACATTATTTTCCTTCTGTGATTAGAAGAGTACATTACACAGAGTAAATGTAGGTAGATAAAGATGAGTAATAGTTTATAACTTAAGGAAGTCCAGTGAAAGACACACATATAAGTAAATAATACCAATAACCCTTTAGTAGAGGTAAATACTTGAGGTATGAAAGAAGAAACTGACTCTCCCTGAGCTTGGAAAATTTCAAAGAGAAGATAACATCTGAGAAGGATCCTAAAAGATGGCTAGAAGTTGTGTAGGCTGAGAATATAGTTCTTCCCATATATCCCCATAGGCACTGATGGTACCAGCTCAGACACAGACAGATAAACATGCCCACACAGAGAATATTCTGGAGCAGCACTAGGCAACACTTATCTCTCAATGAGGTAACACTCACTACACCCAGGGCTCCTGTTCCCAGCTGATTTTAGTCAGTTATAATAGCCTCACCCAGTCATGATCAGTCAGAAGAATAAGACAAAATGGTTGATTTTTTTTTTTAAACTTTGGATTATCAACATACTGATACCTCCACTAACAAGCTTATCCCTGAACAGTGGCTCAAAGGCATATTCAGAGGCTGTGAAGAAAATATCAACTGTAAGGATTATTACTTTTTGAAAAATCTACCCAACTGGCCTGGAGTTAGGGCATTCA